TTAAGTAACTAAACATGATCCGGCAACTTTGTCCATGGCTATAGAGTCTAGATTCCCTGTTCCCACAAAAAACTTCCCCTTTTCAACCCATTCTCCCCGTTCATGCTGCGTATGTGTATGTGCGCGCATGCGTGTCTTTCGTGGGAGACCATGGTGGTCCTTCCTTTCTTTCTTTTCCTTCGAGCCCTCACATCCCACCCTCCCAAGCTCTCCTCTCTGCTCCACTGTCCCCTCTTCTCCTCCATTCTTTGACTGGCTCCTTGTGGAAGGGCTGAAGAATGCTGGCAGGCCCTTTAATTGGTGTGCTGCAGTGCTGCCAGGTGTAGCCACTTGTCTCTGCCCCCCTTGGTGAATATGCACTGGAGGTCTAGGCCCCTTCCCCTGTCTCATTCAGCTGCCCACAATACGCCTTCTTCAGCACCCCGCTTTCAAAGACCAGGCCGATTTTTAACTACTCTGGCCGATAAATGGCATTCACATATTATTTTTTGCAAACAGTCTCCCTAGAGCCGAAGCCAACCCCCCACTCTCTAAGCATTCATTAGTTTTCATGTGGAAACCAAATCTCCAGGTTCTCTTATGAGAACCAGGCTGAAAAACTTATGTGCACCCCTGTTTATTAGTGGATCATCTTGATTCCTGATGTGATTTTTTTTTTTTTTTTTTTGTACTTGGCTCCCATTGTAACATGTTCTTAAGTGTTTGTCCAGTCACTGAAATTTTCAGATAAACCTCTAACTGTTAACAGGAGGATTACTGTCCATTTGATAATGGAATTTATTTTTTATTTTTGCATTGACATTTTGAACCTGTTCCTCTCTCATAGCTGTTGAACACATTTGGTGAAGCCCATTTGCTAGCTGAATTGTTTAGGTCACGTTTTACACTTCCCTAGGTTCCTCCTCCATGCTTTTCTGTCCCATTTCTCAGCATGTTTAAAGCTTATAAGTTGGCCTGCAAAGAATCTGCACCTGCAAGATGTTCCCAGATAGTTCCACAGACCTCAAACTATCATCTTTCACAAAGTTGTACACATCCTCTGTTCCTTCGCATGTTTGTTTATGAATGTTTTGGTGAATTTGTATCAGCCTTCTGCTACAAATAAAAGTGTGGAATTCTGTTTAACACATTTTGCCATATTTAAATGCATTCTGCAGTATTTTGAAAATCTGTAGGGCTGGGAAATATACCGGTAGAAATTTGTCAGTCGGTAGAGATTTTAGGCTATTGCATTTATCAGGGCTCCAAACTGCACCTAAAACGGTCACATTTGCGAGCAAAAATATTAATTTGCGAGTGATATTTTTGCTGAGATTGCCATGGTATAAATTACCATGGTATAAATTGACATTTTATGACTTAAAAATTTGCATGTAATGCCTTTTTTTCCTGCTTGTTTTGCAATCACAGCTTTTGTTATGTTGACATAATAAACCACAAAGACGATGCGCATCAAAGTTTTAGTGGTAAAAAAAACTTTCATCTCTGCCGAACACCAGCGTTGATGGCACACCTGCTAAAAGCAGCTCCAGTTGTGGCAGCACGAGAGCGATAAAAAACGACGGAGCTTTTAAAATTCTGCCATATTCATAACGAAATTTGTTACGTTAATTTTACGTTATTATAAAGTTACTTTATTTCGAATTCATATTTTATTCTTTAGCGCCTCAGTTCAAGCGGCACGTGAACCCATCATATCTTTCTCTTTACTACTATAGTAGGAAATAAACAGGAATAGACATCAGTGTTATAAGATACAGTAGAACTTACTGAAATTTCTCATGGAATCGCTCATTCAGTGTTTTAAACTGCGGAAAACGTGTAAAGCTTGTAAATAATGCCACGTAACAATACATTTACCTCAGAATAACCATTCAGCGTCCATAAGCTCATTAGTCAGCTAATAATAATAACTATAAAGAGGACCATTTTGCTAAATGTATGCGCTATATTACATATTCATATTTTTACTTAACCTGTTGTCTACATAAGAAAGAATGCAAGGCGCTAAAGATAAAGTTCAACACCTCCTATATAATTGCATGTTACTAATGAATAAAAACAGACTGGATGTGTGCAAGACGTATTACAACATTTATAGGATGCCATATTCATAACGAAATTTGTTACGTTAATTTTACGTTATTATAAAGTTACTTTATTTCGAATTCATATTTTATTCTTTAGCGCCTCAGTTCAAGCGGCACGTGAACCCATCATATCTTTCTCTTTACTACTATAGTAGGAAATAAACAGGAATAGACATCAGTGTTATAAGATACAGTAGAACTTACTGAAATTTCTCATGGAATCGCTCATTCAGTGTTTTAAACTGCGGAAAACGTGTAAAGCTTGTAAATAATGCCACGTAACAATACATTTACCTCAGAATAACCATTCAGCGTCCATAAGCTCATTAGTCAGCTAATAATAATAACTATAAAGAGGACCATTTTGCTAAATGTATGCGCTATATTACATATTCATATTTTTACTTAACCTGTTGTCTACATAAGAAAGAATGCAAGGAGCTAAAGATAAAGTTCAACACCTCCTATATAATTGCATGTTACTAATGAATAAAAACAGACTGGATGTGTGCAAGATGTATTACAACATTTATAGGATGCATTGAGGAGGAGCCCAAACTACACTCAATGGCCAAGTGATGCTGACATAGTTATAGTCCGTGATATTGGCACAGATTCTGTGTAATAAACAATTCTTTGTGACTGTATATAGTTCTGAAGTTGGAAAAGATGTTTAGCTCCTTCTTTAAGTGAATCTTAGTTCCCAGAACATCTACAAGATGAATTAAAATGCTGATGCTGTAAAAGGAGGGGAGACATATTAACACATGACAGTATGACTGAAATGTTAAAGTGTTTAAAAAAAAAAAGAAAGAAAACACGTTTATTCTGTGGCACTTAAAAAATAATATTGTGTCACCTAATTTTGTTGCTTATAGGAGCCATTGGCTCCTTAAAGGAGTAGTTCACTTCCAGAACAAAAATGTACAGATAATGTGCTCACCCCCTTGTCATTCAGGATGTTCATGTCTTTCTTTCTTTCTTCAGTCGTAAAGAAATTGTTTTTTGAGGAAAACATTTTGGGATTTCTCTCCATATAATGGACTTCTATGGTGCCCCCGAGTTTGAACTTCCAAAATGCAGTTTAAATGCAGCTTCAAAGGGCTCTAAATGATCCCAGCCGAGGAAGAAGTGTCTAATCTAGCAAAACGATCGGTCTAATCTAGTAGAACGATGTTCTAAAAAAATGTACAATTTATATACTTTTTTTAACCTCAAACGCTCGTCTTGTCTAGCTCTGCGTGAGTTAGGGTAGGTCTAAAAACTCCCATCTAATTTTCTCCAACTTCAAAATCGTCTTACATCGCTGCAGAAGTACCAACCCAGTGTTTACAACGTGAACATGCAAAGAAGATCAAATGCCCTTTACAAAAAAATGGCAAAACAGCGATGTAGGACGATTTAGGACAATTTTTCAACCGCTATAAGAGGCAAAAGAAATTCAGTTTGCTGTCTGATGGACATGTGTGCACAAAAGGCTTCCAGTCATACAGTGCAGCTTTATGTACTAAATTTCTGTAGTATTTATTGTTAGTTAGACCTCTCTGAAAAATCTAAAGCACTCTTTATATAGTTTGTATCTTTATACTGTTGAATTTATTTGTCCAACTGTTTATAATTAGTTTCTTTGTTCTTATTTTATTACTGACTATTTACTTGTCTTCTATAAACTTGATGGATTTTTACATTAGTTAGGCTAGTATTAGTGTTTGTTGTGGTATCGATATTGTGACATTTCAATGGTATATAAAATGCTGGCATCGTAACAACCATATTTCCAGCAGAAATAACTATATTGTGATGTATAGTTCTCGTGGAATACAATGACTCATGTTTTAGTCATACCACCCACCTCTACACTCCACTCTTGTAATGTCTTATATATTCAGTGGCATTTAAAATGACAATAATATCGCTTATCGCAATTATTTCTGGGGCAATATATCGCACAACAAAAAGTTATCGTGACAGGCCTACACAGGCGTACATCAAAGATTTTCTTCATCACTGATGATGATGATGGTATTGGTAATCCCACGCCAGTTGTCTGTCAAATGGTCCGCAGCTCATTGCTGATGATTGTCCAGCCCCTGTCTCGTGTTAGTCACACCCAGCGGGCGGTGGATTGAGGTGTGATGGTGCAGTGATAGGCCACCCTGTGTAAGGGGACAGTTAATCCTTCGAGCATCTCAGCTTTTTTCAGCATGCTGTGTGTTGTCCGCTTATGGCCTGCAGCTGATAAACCACTCTCTGGTCTTCATACCATCAGTGTGACTAGAATCTCTCGGACTCTCCAGCGAAGTGGAGTACAGTTCCCAGAACAGATGCTGCTGTTTAAACATAGCTACTCACACGGCAACACTGATAAAGCCTCATTGATGACTGGTTAGGGCTGCTACAGTTAAAGTTCTGCATTTTGAAATGAAATTTTACCTTTTTTCATATTAAAATGTTTCATATTTTATTCTGTTCTGAGTGATTTTCTGGTCTGAAAAAGAACCTTGTCACATTTGTTCATGAAAAAAAATATTTTAAAGCAATTTGTAAAAAAAATCAATGCATATTATATATATTTTTAAATTAATAATGCATATAAAGTGTGTATATATATATATATATATATATATATTATATATACACACACACACACACACACACACATATTTGCACAACGTAGCAAAGGACTGAATGCATGAAGACATTAATTACATGTAATTATATAAATCGAATTGCTGCATTACTGTTAGTAGGATATTGATTAACTGATAGATCCATTCAGGTCTGTCCAAGCGGTTTGAATGTGTCTGTTAGTACAGCTGGATCCAGGTGTTGCACTAACTGCTTCACTGTTTAGTTTATCCAGAATTTTATGGGTGTGTTTGTGTGCACTTCATGTTGTATCTGTAACAGTACATGCTCAATAGGACACAAGCCTGTGGTCATAGGAGCAGAAGGTGTCTCCACACCCCACCGTAAATCCATAAATTCCTCAAACCACCACCACACCTCTCTGATGAGCAAGTACACCATAGCCCTTATGGCTTTGGATCCTTACTGTTGGAAAGAATTATTTATTTATAGAGACCGATTTAAAATAGACATCCTGTCAGCTAGTATTATCTTGTTAGCATGGTTTAGGTTTTATTCAGGTTGGGCGTGCTTCAAATTGTAAGACTTTTTCAGCTCTGGTCGTCTGTTTAACTGATAGTTCTCTATAAATAGGAAATAGTATTTAGAGTTTTTAAAATGTTAATCAAAAACAAGGCTTTTAATGCTTTTGTGCAAAGCATAAACCACTTTCAGGAATAGACCACCAGTAGTTCTTCTGGTTAGTATGGCACAACCTCTTGGCCAACAGTGATCTTGGGTTTTAGTCTTGGCTTGGCAGCCCAAAAACTTTAACCACTGGGCTACTACCGCCCATGATGGTGCACAGAAAGAAGTTGTTTCTCTTTAGAGGACTGAGGAACCCTTGAGCTTCTAATTGTTCTAGTAAAGGAGATATATATATACATATACATATATATATATATATATATAATATAATGTTTTATATTTATATTATATGTGCACACACATATAATGTTTTGGGTCATTAAGCTTTTTTTATAGTTTTTTTTTTTTAAATCAAGGATACATTCAATTGATCAAACGTGACATACATTGTTACAAAATATTTCGGTTTCAAATAAATGCTGTTTTGAACTTTGTTCATCAAAGAATCTTGAAAAAATGTATCACGGTTTCAAAAAATATTAATTGTTTTTAACATTGAAAATAATATTAAGAAGAAATGTTTATTGAGCACTAAATTAGCATAATAGAATGATTTCTGAGAATCATGTGACACTAAAGACTAAAGCAATGTCTGCTGAAGTGGAATAATATTTAACAATATTACTGTTTTTAATGTACTTCAATCAAACAAATGCAGTGAGCATAAAATAATTCTTGCATTAAAAAAACATAAATAAATTGTACTGACCCTTAATGTTTTTAATTGTTATTTATACATATATATTAAATTTAAAAACTTAATTTAACTTAACTAACCTCGTTCTCGCCATGAATATAGCCGAGGTAGCTCGCATGGTGTTAAATCATGAACAAACAAACAAATACATATATGTATTTGTTGCGTATTTGTACTCTGAATGTCATTAGACAAGACGAGCGTTTCTGCCAAAACTTATGATTGCATAAAAGTGATTCTTCATGAGCGAAAACAAAAAGGCCATAAAAATTATATATGTTTGTATATTAAGAAAATGTAACCTCTTATACATTTTCAACTTTTTATTTAGTTAGGACATTTTTTAATTAACCACCGATTACAATTAACTAAATTAATCCACCGGACGGGGAAATTCAGAGGGGGGCAAAGAATTTTCCACTGCACTGTTTTGAGTGTCAGTGGATGTTTAGATAAACCATCAGTGCTCTTCTATGTTCTAACCACAGGTGCGAGGGCTGCGGTGCCATCTTTCATGCCGAGTGCCGGATGCGAGCCCAGCCTTGCCCGCGATGTGTGTGCAGGGAACTGCACAAGAAGCCTGCGTCATTCTGGAAGAGGCACGGCCCTCACGACAGCCCTGATGACGAAGTGCTGGACTGCTTTGAGCTGAACACCTGAGACGGTTTATCGAGAGCGCTGCCGAGCACACTGCACTAATGAAGTCTAAGTGCTGCTGCATCCAACAAGGACAAGATTCCGTGCTCCCTCGGTGGAAGTGCTCCGTGAAAACCGAGAAACGGAGGCGTTTTTTTTTTTTTTTATGTTCTCCCTCACCTGAGAGAGATGGGCACAGAGACAATAATTCAGCTCCCAAAGAGCAGAGTCTTCATAATGATACCAATTTACTTCCCTTTCATCTACCAAATGACAGCCAGGGCCAACCGACAAATACAGGCAAAGTACGCTCACACACTTTTACTGACAGATGTAAAATAATGAACTTTCTGGCAGACTCACAATCCAAGAGCGATGATTCAAACTAATTTCTGGACACAAATAGAGTTTCTAATCCATTAATGGTTCAGTGAAAATGAGCGCTGCAAGATGGCAGTCTGGCCTCTCCGTTCGGTTTCCCTCCACGCAGTAGTTAACCTGCAATGCCGAAGACCCTTGATCTCGAGCACATGAAGGCTGAACATGAAGATAAACATCCTTAGAACAAAAATAGCTTTTTTCTGTTTCACATGTTTGCATTTTTGCACTTTACATTTATGATTTGTCCATACATTTCTGTTTTTTTATTATTCATTGCACTTTCAGTCACAGCATGTTGCCATATCTGTTTTTATCTTACTCCTCAACGCTTTCAGCTTTGGTTTGCATTGTACTGTGAAGATTAAGAAGGATTGGTGTCTTGTCCCATCCACCTGACCTGGAGTTTAAAAAGTTGGACTGTTTATCAACACTCAATGGCACTGCCTATAAGCAGCTGAACCACGTTGTTCTTGCTAACCGCCTGGTCCGTGATTACAAACTACCCTGGGCCACCAAGCCCCGAAATTACAGTCTAGAGTTCCAGGGCTTTGTTTAGCATTCATACGTCTTTTTAACAAGAAACGTAAAGAAAACCCGCCTTGGACAAGTTTCATATTTGTTGAAGGTGTAATGGAAGTTTCTTTTTCTGCCATCATGTTGTTCTCAGTTGTATATTTGCATATCGGTTTTGTTATAGATTTATTGTATTTATATTCTTCAGTGTAATTTCTTTATCAGTTTCCGGATTTTCCCTGTGCTTTGTATTCTGCAAACTCTTCATTACAGACAACCTCTTATGCAACTACAAATATTTGTGTTTCAGTACAGGTACGGGTTCCTACCAGTTTTTCTCTTCTTTTATTTTATTTTATTTTTTTTTACCACTGTTGCCAATAAAGTAAATTGCTTCACACATTCTCCTCTTTTTATGCGTCAACAGTAATGCCATCATCTGAATTAATTTTAGGATTTAGGATTCTTCACAGATCATTTTCTTGGTCAGAATCCAAGGTGGCAGCAGTGGAACAAATGCATCATGGCCGTGGCTGTGGTTGTGGTGTTCCCTTTTGGGTCCCGGTGCACCGGAGTAGGTCCAAGCATTGACTCACGAGCTAATCCCAAATTAAAAGCCACATGGTTGTATCTGGTTCTGTCTGGAGTTTTACCAATAACCACTGGACCTGTTAGAGACCACAGTATGAGGCTTCTAATCTTTTGCACAGTGGTACTGACGTATAAACATTTGAAATTCCGTCTAGTGATATCATGATTCTATTGAGAACAGTTACCATGAAGGTATTTTCTTCATCTTTGAGGCATTTTAAATATTTGTCCAATCTATCCAGGGTTCAACAATAAGGATGGTCCGCTGGCCCAGGGCCAGTGTGAGTGAGTTTCATGCCAGTTTACACTGAAAATGTCACATTCATTGAACTTATACATCCACATTTTATGCCTTGCAAATGTTCGTTTTTTTTTTAGATGTGTTCTACATTTTTGTTGCAAATTCTGCTGATTTGTCAGTTAATGTTATTTAGCTGGATAACATAAAAATAGGGTTTGTTGAAATTGCAAAAATAACTTGTGATTGTCTTAAAAGCTTAGATAAGAATGTCATAAACTACACATTTTCGTGTGTTGATTTTCTTTTAAAGGCACAATATGTAATTTTCGCCGCTAGAGGGCGCGTATTCAAAATAAACAAAGAGACAAAAGGCTAGTTTGATGACGCTGTGACTGAGTGTGGAATCATGGGAGTTGTGGTCTTCATCCCCACAGCCGATGCAATCCGACTGGACTCGGGCAGAAATCATGTTCATGGATGAGCTAATGATTTATTAACGTAGTAGTATGAAGCAGGGTGAGGCTGAAAGCGGTCGAAGCGAAACGAGGCCGCTGAACGAGCGCGGCTCACACGGCTCGAAAGCAGCGGAGCTTTTATTATGCAACAGTCGACCGCTTCCGCTCCTTCCGGTCGTGCGTATGTAGGGGGGGGAAGCTGGTTTATCATACTAGATACATTTGAAAGTTATAATGCTACTCTGTGCGGTCGTCACCGGTCTCAGCAAAATATATAACACTGTTCTAGTGGTTTTTGGATATTTTAATTAAAAAAATCTTACATATTGTGCCTTTAAGTAAAGAAATGGAAATAACAATATAAAGAAAAATTAATAAGACAAATATAACTAGCAAAAATAGAAATACATTGATAAAATAAAAATATATCCTCCATACATTCTCATTGTTGAGCTGTGCTATATCTTTCTTTTCTTTTGTTTATTCTGTTGAAAATTAAGATAAATTGTATTTGGACATTTCCCACTTTCTGTTCTTATATATTTTCATTGTATTTACATTAACATTTTTCAAATTAAGAACATTTTTCAATATTCAAGCAAAATATTTCACCAAATTAACTGTCACATATACTGTACAGACATGCATACGTATGGTCTCAGTGGTCACCTGTGTGATTTTTTTTTTTTTTTGGTAACATTTTATGTCTACACCATATATTCAGTTTCATCACCTTACATGTGCATGGAAAAAAAGGACCAGACTTGTATAATATTTTTTTCGCAAACCTTTCCCGATTCTTGAGTGATGCCTCAGTTAAGCTAATGGCTGGCCACCCCAGATGCTTCCTCCCTGGTTTACTTTTACAACACTTCCCTCATGTTTTTTTCCTCCTCCCCATTTTTTATTTATTTTTTTGTTTTGTTTGTTTGTTTGTTTTTTCTTCTCTTGAAAGAGAACAGTAATTTGTCCTGGCCTTAGAGAGCTCTAAAGCCTTTCTCTGACAGAATAATCCACCAGGATCCAGCCACTGCCGATAGGCCAGAACATGCCAAGTCTTCCCTCCTTTGTGTGTGTTTTGTGTGAATGTTCACTAACTCTTAGAGCTGGTTTTCGAGCCTGGGCTTAAAATTGAGGCGTCCTACTGATCCCAGACTCCATTACAGTGTTAAAGTGTGACAGCTCAATGCTGAGGATGCCTTTAAGACGGCTGTTTTCACACATATCTGGACTTGTTGCATCCTTTTTTGGAAAGGTGGAGATTTTGTGTGTGTGTGTGTGTCAAGAGGATGTTTTTAGGGATATGCTGTGATTTTTCGCACACAGTGACCAATAGATTAATTATGGCGAAGTTGTAACTAAAAGAAAGACAAACAACACTTTAGATGCCTTGTTTATTGACTATCAAAGCAGAATTTTTATCAACTCTTTTTTCGTCAAAATAGAAATCATATTTGTCCCAAGGAAAATATCTTTTGTAAAAATTTCCAATCAGCCCAGACACGCTGAGCAGTCCGTTCTTGTTCCATCATCCTCACAGTACGAGTCTCCTGCACTATGTCCCTTTACACCCAACATGAACTACCGGAAGGGGTGGGAGCGTATATTTGGCAGTTGCGCTATGCTTATGAGGATAGCTGTTGTTTTAGCAGGGCCGAGTGAATGTGTGTGTGAGCTGCGTGTGCATGGTCTGACTCATTTGCCTGTGATTTGTATTGAGGAGTGGGCAAATTGAACCTGAGTGTTGGTCGTGCTTAATTGTCGTCACCAATTAGTGCATTGTTGAAAGCCACAATGGCTCCACTGTAGCGAGGGGAACGTTTCCTTTGTGCCTCTCCAGTGGCCCACAGGGCAGTCAAGACTCATTTAGGACTAACAACAAGGGGCCAGAAATGGCATCAGAAAAAGACAACAAAAGGGCGGTTTAAGGAGAAAAAGACGACGGCAGAATGGAGGCAGGAGGGGTGGAGACAATAGTGACATGGGATGGAGCACCAGGGTCCGTTTTTTTGTGAAAAAGGGGTTAGAATGTCTGATTCAACCCTCTGGTTCCCTAACGTCCACCTGCCGCACAAAGACACGAACCCGCGCAATCAGCGCTGAGCAATAACAAGTCTCGACTTCAGTTGTCATTTCTCAAGTTCTGTTTTTTTGTTTTTTTTTGTTTGTATGTTTGGGATCTTTTCATGCATAGTTATGTTACACACACATTTTGTCCTTAAATATTGATATGTAGTAATCAAGCTATACTTGTGATTTCATTTTATGTACAAAACTGTAGGGTAGACTGAGTACATTTGGGACATGTGATTTTTTGCTCCACACATGCGTATTAGCATTCTCTTTGATCATGGAAAATTTGAAAGGCGTGCATCTTTCCACTCCAAAGATATAGGCAAACGTTTTTTTTCCAAGGTAAGATTTTCATTTCACCATGTCCCTTCCACAATGAATAGCTTTTTATCCTTTTATGACTTAAACTTCACCTATATCATTGCAAACGTTACTCTGTGCTCTAAAAATAGACATATTTTATGATATTGTGCCATGCAAGGTCTTTGCATAATCTAGAGAAACATGTGAGTATGCGAGTAAATATACACACAATATATTATTATGTGTTCATACAAGTTATATGGACAATTAAACCACAAATGAAAATGTGTCTTTGCATGAAATAAAATATCAAACTAAGTCCTATTTGTTTAATATTTATGAAAAATACGTTTTTTTAGGTTTTATCTAAATATATAAAAATACAGTTCAAACGTTTGTGGACAGTGTAAAAAATGTAAAAATACAGAATGTTTTGAGTAATGGGTTTAGGTTTAGGGGTAGGTTTA